TGGACCTATTATTTGCATATACATACAAATTGCCTACATACATGTAAGAAGACAGCGCTTAATGGCTATTATATGTAATTTATGTAAGTTTAGACTTGCAGGTGAAAAGGAAAGTCTCCTCTCTTAACTGACTGTAACTATTTGATATTGCTTTTTAATAATAATGTGGGCCATTCTACGTTGTTCTTCTACCTATTTAGGTCAAGATCAAAGTATCATGCAGCGAGTTTATGTCGCGACTGTAATGAAATTAGGGAAAATATATTTCAATAAATATTGTCCCATTTTATTTTTTTGCAGCTGTGCAGCCTGGATATAAGTGCTGCAGTTGCTACGAACATAGCTAACTTTATGTAGCTTCCATCTATCTGTACTTGTACATGGCACTTGGTTTTGATTTATTTTCAGGTCACGCCACTAGATATATACACCCACACCACTAATGACACGTCATTCAGATTCAGAATAGATGCTTTAAAGTTAGAATGCTGCATCAGAAATGATGCAAAACCATAACTGTTAGTTAGAAAATGCTTTCTTTTTGGACTTCAGCTGGGTTACGCTGTGGTCATTCAATATTATGGTAGTGGGGTTCTTTTTCTCTCTTACTTCTGGTTGGTGATAAAATCACTTGTATGGTATATGTGCATGTGTGTGGCCCAGGCTGGGCTGCTGTTTGGCATGCCTTGGATCATGACCTTTTGCCAAACCTCAGGAGTAGCTCTTGGGGAAAAAATGTAAACATACAACCAAATTTACTCTGGTTTCTTTATTTAGCTCAGTACAAGTTAATGCTCATTGCTAAAAGGCTTCAATATGACAAACTCTTTCCTAAGTCAGAAAATGGCAGAAGCTAATTTAATATCTTAATTATAGTAATTTTGTAAAAAAATACAAATGGGAGGGAAGCAAGTGGATTCTCCTACTGTAGAGGTAAGAATTTCAGCTGTTTAACAATTGTGATAATTTTATTTATTCATTTTAATCACATTAAATGATGTCTTCAAGGATGACAAGGAAGAAAATACCTGTTTTGTTAGGCCAGAATTATATGGAAATATTATGGAATAATACTAATTACTAAGAAAGTGCCAGAATTGTGGATAGTGTAATCATCTACAATTTTCTGAGAATATCTGTACTAAAATGACCTATCTAATTTAAGTGTAATTTCCAAAATAAGGAGACCAGATGTCTTGTTTGTGAAAGTGTAAGTGATGGACACTTTTCCTTGTAATGGAAATGTCTGTCTTCTACTAACATTAAACTGGCCTTTTTTCTTCCTGTAGATGTAAGTTTAGGATTACGCTGGTTTTTCCTGTGTGGTTGCGAGTTATGGGGAAATAGAGCAGAGTTTCCATAAACTAGAACATAGAGAATTTCAGTAAATAGAAGGCCTTTTGTCTACTTGGTTATTTTGAGTGGCATTAAAACTCACCTGTCAACAATTTGCCACTCATACTGACTATTCTATATTTTTTCTGAGCTCTTACCACTGTTGGCTGTAAGAGCTGACCACTTTGCTTGATTTTAACTTGCAGAGAATTTAGATGAGTTATCAGTTAACACAGAATGTGTGTAATTGATATAAAGATTAATTATTAAAACTGTCAGTTTCCCCTGCAGAAAATATGGATATTTGCATATGAACTATGCCTCTGAAGTGGTTTTCAAATGTGTCCCAGTGTAAAGCTTAAGATAAATCAGCATAGATCCAAAGGATTTATAGAATTAGGTTGGGATTTATACTTTGTTTGTTTGTCTTTTAAGAATACAGCTAGCTGTTGCCATGACTAGAACAGTATCCTTCCAGTCTTTTTCACGTGAACTCACTTCTGAAAGTTAAAGAACTTCCTTCAACCTGAGTAGTTACATATTTAACATACTGTACAAGCAAAAGGAGTAGACCGAAATGTTTAATATTGGATATTCAAATGTTAAAAAAACCCCAAAGTTTTGACTCACCCACAGAGTAAAAATCCTAAATCATCAAAGGAAAAAATACTCATGTAGATCAACTTTTGCCAAACAAAGACTTGTCCTTGTGAGTTGATGTGACTCTGGATAAAAGGATGCATAAGTTTTGTATTAGGCAGTTTTGTTTATGATAAGGTGTGTAAAATTCACAATTAAAGGAATTGTCACATCTTCTTGAGCAGATGAAGGAAGAAGAGAGATGAATCTAGTAGCTACTGCTGGTACTGGGGAACTAAGATGAAAATTTTTGACCACAAAATAAAAAAACACTAAAGCTTCTTCCAATTCTTAGAGTGTTTTCATAATAACAAACAACAAACATTAAATCATACTGTCACTTTCATCCAAATTCAGTAGAAGGGAAGGGGCCAAGGCAAGGAAGAAAACTGCTTTGCCTGCATTAGAGAATAGGCAGAAGGGCAGAATGCCTTCAGAAAGATGGCCAGAGGCCATAATTCCTCTCTCTATTAAGTGGTTTTGTGCTTTGCCAGGTAAGAATCAGTGCAAGCACCAACCTTGATGTCTGTGTTTCTGCCTCTGTTTCACTTAGACATATGCCTAAAATTAGTCATGGACTGTGCAGCTTTCTTATGAGTGCTCAAATCACCATCAAGTTCCTTGTCCAAACTCTGTCCCTTTCTGGCACTTTTAATTGTCTCCTGAACTTTGCTTTTTTCCTCCCCTCCTGTGTTCCACCTTTCCTCCCATTGCCTCTGTCTCATATAATAGGTTTAATGAGACTATGGGGAATTTCATGGGCTCTGACTTGCACCCTCTCCCAGGCAGTACAGGTATATTTATCCCTGTACTGCACAGTAGCAGGGAAAAGGAATCACTTCTGGGGGCTCTTTTTTACTAGCTTAGCAACAAGTGAGGAATGGACGTTGTGGCTCCAGGAGATAGGAATGATCTCTGCCATGTAATGAATATGCTTTAAGTGCTGATATATGCATACAGTCATGCATGACTGTTTAAAAGTTACATCAGTACTGGGCAACTGTAATAGTTGGTGCATTTTTAATGTGTACTTGTAATAGCTATTGTATTTATGTTGGACTGAGATTAGCATATTTTATTGAGTTCATTTGCATAATGAACAGATATTGTTTATTAGTGAAAAAGGCAACTAAAAAAAGGAACTTTGAAATATGTAGAACAAGCTAAGCTAAGAACAGTAAGAAACGAAACCACTGATTTTGAGGCATGCGTGGCTAAAAAATTTTCTACTATGTTTCATAGCTTTATGAATGCTAATAACTTATATTTAAGTTACTTATCAGAGGGACTCTTAATAAGTAAACCTACATGCTTTGCAATACTTACATTTTATAAAGCCTCCAAACTTAGCCTATTGTTTGATTTTAATTTTTCTACCTTTATCCCAGTCCTTTGTTTTTTTCAATAACATCACAAGATCAGTTGCAACAAGCAGTCACAATGACAGCACTACCTAGAGCAAGCGGAAACATAGAAATGATAATCTAAAATTATTGAACAAATGATGTTGCCATTTACCATACCTGTATATCATACCTTGCTGATTATGCAGCATAAAGTTTGAGCTGAGTAGATGTTAACTGATTACCTTGAATCTAGTTTGAAGGTAGGATTTTACAGCTTAGGCAACTAAATATATTTTGTAAACTGAGCAGATATTCCATTTTTTTCCCTATCAAAATTTCAGTCTTGATCTCTTATGTATTTTATAGGTCTATATTTATTATATATAGATAATTATTTTATTATTATATTTATTATTAAGACAGAAGGTCTTCTACATAAATAATCAGAATGAATTATCACCTTCTTAAAGACTCTTAATGTTGCATATTGCAAGCTGAAAGCTGAACTTGACCGTTAAAAAGTATGACTCATATTAGGGACAAATCGCTCATGATCATCACTGAAATGAAGTGGATGTGAGACACAACTTTTTGGAACTGTATTCAACAGATCTGCAAAAATGACTAGAAAAGTACAGAAGTATTTATTTATGATTTTGCCTTTGAAATTAGAATATATCCCACCGTGAACTAAACATTTGGGATGAAATCTTGCCCTATTCAGGGCAATCACAGCTAGTGGAACCAGGTTTTCACCTTTTCATTTTATCTGCAGTGAAATAAAAAGTCATAAATAAGCTGACTCCTGTGGCTGTTCATACAATCCATATTCTGGTAGAGTTGAGCTGTAATTCCTGGAAGTGGCCAGTCTGAGAAACAACACCAGTATTAGTGTGCATCAGTTGTTCGCTATGAATTGCAAATTCTCAGAAGATGAACACTGACTCTACAAGAATTTACAGCATTTGTCTCCTAAGCCTGCTAATCCAGTTGCACTGAAGGCATTTCCTCGGGGTTCACATCACACAAGTCTTGAGACAATTCAGTAGTAAATCTCTGTGGGGACTGAGCTGAGAGCATGTCATGGCCCCAAGCTCTGTGTCAAGAGCACATGAGATTACTAATGCTAGTGAAATATTCTTTATCTGTGAATCAGCAAGTGCAAAATGAAGCTCCTATCTGCCAAATAAAAGAAACTGCTTGTATTTCAGAACAGAAATCTGACCCGTTTGTCTCCTATGACAACTGCTTTGCCTACATTAGGTGGAAATGAGAAATTTATTAAGTGCAACGTTCGCAGCACAGTGAATAAGCAAACTAAAAGGCTCTTACTTTGCTGACTGACTATTTCATTCACTCATTGATTAAAACATTTCTCCTTTGGCGAGAATGGCTGGTAAGCTTATTTTGTAAAATATAAATAGGAGAAGAAGAATTAAAACAAGCAGGTTTTTTTTAAACATCTAATCTTAACCATCTTACTTGGAAAAATATGTTTTTATAAACTGCAAGTGATTTAGTGTTTTTGATGCTACTATTCAAAAGAAGTTAATTCCTAGTTTTAGCTAAGACAAATAAAGGTTAGAATCGCATTGCATTTCATACTCATCAGGTATAACAGTGGTAAAATAGGTGAAGTGATAATTAACTGCATCTCCTATTATGTCTCTCTAGAGATCTGAAGAATAATCTGATCAGCACAATTGAACCAGGGGCCTTCTATGGACTTTCAGAACTGAAGCGCCTGTAAGTATTAATTCCATTTGAATTATTCTGAAAATTGTGTTTGTATCGACATTTCTATCCTTGGGCAACTCAAATATGCCACCAAGCAATAATCGCATAAAGGCACTGGCTGTAAAATAGAAAATCACACAATCTGCTTTTTGCATTTACCATACCTTTTTCTTCTTCTTTCCCTTCTTTTTTCCATTTTCTCTTCTTTTTTACCTTTTCCCATTCAAAGTCATCAGTTTGTTCTCCAATAAATATCCTGGCAAGTACATCTATGGAGGTAAAAAACACACCTAGTTATCGATTTAGCAGACAATATATCGCTATAGACGTTAATCAGAAATAACACTAAGCAGTTTAGATGTGTGTAAACAGTGGTTTGTGCTACACTAAATTTTTTCAATATGTAAGGTCTACTTTACTTTTATCATAGACCAGGTCTACAAAATAAATTACTAGAGGGGCAACTTTGTCATACTTTAGAAGTTGTCTACCATTTTCCATACCTCTCACCTTGGCTTTGCTTGATATTTTTTATTTTTATCATGATTTTCTAGGGAAACAAGAACTTATGTAGTATATTCCCTGTCCATCATTTTTGTGTTTCTCTCTCATAGTACTTTTGGGAGCACTGGCTAATTTTTAAACTACAGCTGGGCTTTTTTTTTTTTTTAACAAGGACTACAGACCCTCCTTAGTTCTACTTGGCCTAGGGAAAAGTGAGATGAACCCTTTTTTAATTGTAATTTTCCAAGTGACAAAATCCAAATATCTGTGCACTGGCTAACTAGGCATCAGCACATGCCAGACATTTTCCTAGCCATCATGTCTGCCGTTTGAATGTCTGATGAGAAAGCCTCTGAGAAAACAGGGATTATTTTAGTGGGATGGGAAGATTTAGATGAGAAGGAGAAGGAATGCAAATCCACAGAAAAAATAAATTTACAAATCCTTCTGATTTTTCAGTGTGCCAGTAAATTCCCTAACCACTGTGTGCTGGGAGCACTGCACATCCCAAGTAAAAGTTTCCACCTCTGATGATAACAGTAGCAGTGTTTTGTTTCACCAGCCTCTCAGCTTTAGTGTGTTCAGGTAGAAAGCCAGTTGCATAATAATGATGAAGTCGGAGTAGCATATACATTTTTAATACAAAGGAAAACCTTTGGACTGAATCTTTCTTGCTCACTCTGTGTACAAGGATAACGATGAAATGGAATGATCAAAATGAGTGCTAATTGTTGCTTTGGCCGCACATTCTAATAACACAACCCTGACCTCTTGTGGGAAAACCAGGAAACCTGTGCAAGTGGTGGGCTGCACATCCACAGACTGCACAGGGGGCAGCTTTAGGTCATCCAGGAGAGATGAGTCAAGGGAGATGAAGTCATCAGGCATTGGAAAAGAGAGAATAGACTCTTCAGCACAGTAGGAATGGCGACGTTGAGTTTTGTCATGTTAGATCTCAGTGTGGAACTGTTGGGTAGGAGGCAGTTGAGCAAAAGGAATAATTAGTGTAAACTCCTGTTGAATGTGAATACAGTAATTACTTTAAGACTGTACTTTACATTCACATCTTCTTATTTCCCGTGTAAAAAGTAAATGATGTTGAAAGCAGAAGCTGACATAACATGGGCAACTGCAACAGATAGGGCTATGGCAAGTCATAGAAGGCTGTCAAAATATTCTGTGAATGGAGAACTGTTACAATTTGTATTTGAATGACAAACTGAATTTTATCCAGGGTTTGTTCAAAAAGGTACACAGAAAACTGATGAAAACTGAAAATTTATGAAGCACTAAAATTACGGCACTTGGTTATTCAACATAGGACAGTTCTCTTTTCTCTAACATCAACCTTACAAGTCAGCATTAGTAAGTTAAATGTCTTACTCCTGAAAATGAACACCAGCTTTGTACATTATGAATTGAATTATGTCTAATGTAACATGTATTAGTCTGGAGGAAAGTGTAGTAAGCTACCTTTTCGTTTTGCTAATGTGTTTTTTAGAAAACATGTTTTACAATACAGAGATACCAGCTGCTGCCATGTTGTGAAAAATAACAGTCATTGAAGTAAACTTTGAGAAAAGGGTATTTTTCCTTTCACTTTATTAAAAATACCACTTTGTGCCACACTTAGAGAAATATGCACCTGTATTCATTAGTTCAGACAAAATCTACTTTTGCTACCCAAATTATGCCCCACATTGTGATGCAATTCTTCCATACATGTTCAGAATTTGCTTAGGCAGAAGAAAACCATTACCCAATTAAGAATTCTGGGTAGGTTCTTTTCTACATCTTCTAATAGAAAGATGTATATATACACCTCTATATAGGTATGTATGTTTGTCTTAAACTTGCATTTTTAGATTTCCTATGTAGCTTTTATTAGGAGAACTTAAAGAATAATGCTAATATGCAATTATTGCACTATATTGTATCCTCACTATTTTTTCAGCTGTTCCCTACTTAATATCCTTGGCAGGCATTTAAGAAATATTTTCATTCTAATGTGATGTTTCATCATATAATTGTACAACAGTGTGTTCTTTGTCTGATAGAAGAAGAATTTGTAGTGAACGCTAAAGAGATTGCCTTCACATTCCAGCTAATTGGATATGTCTCCATGAAGGCAGTAACTGGATTTGTCAAACTGCCACCTTTATTCTCCCATTTGATACCTTTAGTGTTTTCATATATCAGTAGAAAAATATGAAATCCACACAATGTAATAAAGGAGTTGGAAGACTACTACTGATTCTAAAAGAAAAAAATATATTCAGACCAATTTTAAAACTTTTTTGGCTATATGATCACTTAAAATCCTTACTACAACTATTTAAAAAGACCTCTGTACTTCCTAAGGATGAAAATTTTGGTCAGGGTTGAAAAACAAATACATAAAAATAAAAAACTAGTTCAGAATGCACCAAGGGGCATTATTCATGTTGCTACCATAATATAATTGTTCATACCTGTCTTTGTCTCCTTCCTATAAGCGTCCTGTATACTATGTTGCATGTATGGCTTATGCAGAAAACATTCCTTCACTTTCTGCAGATGAAAGTTATGGAATGTAATGCCTTTTACTGTTTGTGGTCCCAGAAAGCCAGAGTATTGCTCTTAGAAGAGCTTACCAAGTGCTTATCAAAACTGACCTTCTCTGTAGTTCAAATATTAACTGCCTTCTGGTTTCTGTGATTTCTTCAGCAAGAGAGGATGCTGTAAATGAGATGAAACATTAGTAAACAGTAAAAATACATCAATTTTGGCTGAATATCACATGTAACAAGATACATGGTATTTTTCCTAAGTAAAAAAAACAGGTGCTAATAACTTTGAGAAAGAAAATTCAGTGTTTTTGTAATAGTTTTTTGCATTTATTTGCTACGTATATAAAATCCCATTTTTATTAGATGTTGCAGTATGTGGAATATTGTTCAATAATGTTAATATAAAAGTTGTTATATCTATTTAATTATGTTACATTATGGGAAAAGGTTTTATTTCTCATTTGTCTCTAACTCCTTAAATATTAAAAATAAAGATGCTTTGATTATGTAGGTGTGTATATGAATAAGACAGACTTAATATTTCATGGTCTTTTTGTTTGTTTCAGGGATCTTTCAAATAACAGAATTGGTTGCCTAACACCAGAAATGTTTGTTGGACTTAACAATCTTCACAAACTGTGAGTATAATACCACTTTTGTTTTAAACAGAAGAAATCTAAACTGTCGCATGACTGACCTGAGTATAGTTGGCAATAAAATTTCATTACAAGGAAGTTATAGGTTTTGTACTAAAAAGCGACTCTCCTGAGCCTTTGATTGTGATGAATTGATATTTTAAAGATATTTTCTCTATTTCAATTGTAAAATCTATCAGAACTCCAAAGAATTAAGTTTCATTTTCACATTGAAAAGAGACTGAACATGATATGTCTGTTTGCATGTATTTCTGTTTGTATGTCTTGGCAACACAAGTAGACAAATGAGACTTGTACTAGTTAAAAAGGATATACTGCTTGTTCTATCCATTACAGATCAATTGGCATTTAAAAACTTTTTTCCCCTGAAGTATATTACATCAAAAAATAAGCATTTACTCAGAAAAAAAAAATGAAGTACCAAATAAACTTGGAATATCAGGGTAGTTCAAACTGCTTTCGAAATATCCATCTTAGACTGGCTGCTTAAGGTGTTATGTTGTAAATTTCATTTTTTAAAGTACTTTTTGAGTCATTAATCTGTCAAGTGATGCAAGGGAGAAAACCCAAAGATGTTTTGGGATTATAGTGCATAATGCCATGAGAAGATCTGCTCAGTAGCATTTAAAAAAATAAAAAAAAAAGAGTATTATTAAAGGAAGAGAGAGCAAATTGGAAAACATCTGTCATACTACCAGAAAAAAGTAAGGACCTGCATTTTTAATACCATGGGCAGTTCCAGTGTGCTCATCTTAGAAAGATGACCAAAACTAGAAAGGGTTCAGAGAAGGTCAAAAGGAATGGCCAAAGGTCCAGTACAGCATAGGCAAGTACTATAAATAAGTAAGTTGACTGCAGATGTCTTGGAAGGAAGGATCCTGTTTTAAATGGACATTTGACCTGGCCCAGAAGGGCTCTCTGTCTTCATTCAGATCCATCTTCATTCCTGAATGAGAAATAAATTCCTATATGCATCATAGTGTGTGACAAATCTCATACTTTATTTTCTTCTTCTCCAGCCAGTTCTGGCTTTTCCTTGGACAAACAGGGAAATCTTTCTAGAAAGATATGCCATGAGGTCAAGATGACACCAGGTAAAAGGCTGAAATCTGGCATGCTTACTGATCACATTAATGAGAGTAACTATGCCAAGTCTCCTCTGAGGAAAACAAATGAGAACAGATGATGGGAAGAGCCTTGATAGCATGTGATGAACAGGTGCAGACTGGCCCTTTTTCACTCATCTGTTGAGGGTTTCTGGTGCCTCCTTTTGTTGTGCACAGTGAACATGACTGTGACTATATAGCTAGATTACCTTAAAAGGTATGTTTAATTCAAAATGGTGAGGTCACATTATTAAATGAAAGGTGTTTCTAGGTGGTAGGAACAAACTGAATGGAAACTGTTGAAATTCATGCTCTCTTAGAAAGGTCTGAAAATTCCATTTGTAAATCTTTCAGACTCTTAGAAGTGAATTAGAAGTTCAATACAGAACATCAGTCTTTTGATAGCAAAGAACAGAAATGCATTCCCAGCGAGTGCACAACATTTGTTCTGTGACAGTGTTTGGCTGTACTATCCCTTTTCTCTGAAGACCGGGAAAGAATGTGGCAGTATCCACATCCTTCAGTGATGCCAGAGATGCTGGAAAAAGGCACAATATGCAGGCTGACTGCCCGTAGTTACTGGGCTGATCAAACCACACCATTACAGTTTCTTTTTGTACAGATTTGCCATATCTCTGCTCATTCTAGTAGCTTGTAACCTTTCCTGGCATTAGCAAATTTTTTCTGAGCTGTGAGAACCAGAGAAAGACTCACCATTTCCCTCTGCACATTAACACTGTATTTTCTTGCATCTAGTCTTTTTGTGTTATCCTAAATATATTTATTTTTTCCTCAGGATGGGTCTAACTTTCATTTCCAAATGGGTGTAGATCCAGAGCTTCCTGTATTGTTTTTCTTCTGAGGCCCCAGTTTAAAGCAGAAATCTGAATTAGACCTTTCTTAAGTATAGTTCCCAAGTGACAATCTAGTTACATTTTTCAGTTTGAATAATGTTTTTTAATGAAATTACTCTCGTTTTTGAGAAGGTTCATCTCTTCTTATTCTCCTAACATTGGCAAAACCTTGGTTTTGTTATTACCGGATTTCGTGTTCACATTCTCTTAATTTTCTGAGGCAGAGTCTCTGGTGAAAGCACTAAATAGAATCACTCAGAAAACCATTTCTGCAGAGCACCAGTAATGTCTCGCTCCTGTCCCTTCTATCTTGTCCATTATCTTACCGTGTCTTGCAGTAAATGCACTTAACGCCAGGTTCTTCACGCTTTTCTGGGTATTATGTCCATGCATCAGTGGAAAAAATGATGATTCTGGTATTTGGAGACGTGTTAGTCTGGCCTTTTTGTATTTTGTGTGGTAACTGAGTGAGTTTTGAAAGAAAAAAAAATGCGAAAAAAATTTGACAAATCAGAAATTGGTAAAAAATTCATATGCATCTGTTGACAGTGTATCATGTAACTGTATAAAAAGATCACTAATTTTCTAGACAAGTTAAATTATGTCTTGGTTTTCATATAGATCTAGCATGATGCTACGTAATCAGGAGAAAATCATTAACAGTTATGCTGGTGTTCTCATATCAGTGGAATTAACCTTGAACGCCCCTAGTTTCCCCAGGTGTTTTTTGATTTTAACTAGTTCTGAAGATCAGTAGTCATATTATAGGTGGTCTTGGGAAATACATTTTCCACAATTTAGTGTATGTTTCTCTCATAAATCATATAATCCAAATGACCAACCTTACTGAAAAGAATACAGAATGGTAGTAATGTGATATATTTAGGCTATATATCTTACCTACTCTTTATTAATCTCTTAGTTATAATATTGTAGTATTATTGAAATATCTTTTGCACCCTGTCTTAGCATACTTTCCAAATTCCAACTTCAATGCTTCCCATCATTTTGCTAAGCTTTTCCTGTTATCATCTTTCTAGTTCTTTGTTCTATTAAAAATTTGAATTATTTTTTTCAAGATTTAGAATTGGTTATTGATCCATTTAGTCTATCTTTCATTTTTCTTATTTGGGTTTTAAATTGCCTTTCTAACACTGACCTAATAAATGGGGCTATCCTTCATTCCAGTCTATGTGGTCTAGTGCTTCAGTAGTTTCTATTATTATTATTGTTGTTATTATTATTATTATTATTATTATTATTATTATTATTATTATTTCAAAAGTCTGTCCTTTGGAAATCAGAGGTTTAGTAATAGATTAGTCTACATTCTCCTTTTACCTGAAGTAAATCAGTTCACAATTGCTATGTCAAAAGTTACAACTTTTTTTTTTTGACAGAGTAGGGACTGTCCTTACTGAACCAAAGTCAAGTTGGGTCAGTGATTGTTTTGTGAAGAAACACACCCACAATCCTGATCAAGTGGAATTGTTCCCTGCCATTCATAGTAACTCTTATTCTTTGATCTCAGAAATCTCATATAATGTCATAATGCTGATAGTAATTATTTGAGCTGGGATCTCAGTTTACCTCTGATGTAAGAACTGGTCCTTGTTTGTGGACTGCAAATTGATGCCACCGGTACTTCTCTAACTTTTTTGTAGCTTTGTTCCCCTTGGAAGGTCATGGACTTCCCAGAATCATACTTTTTAAACATGTTTAAAATATGATAGGTCAACTTTCTGTTGCTGGTGATACCTCTGACTTGTGTTTACTTGCCGTTTCAGGGCTATGAGAAAGCTGTTCTCTGGAAAGGTTATGGAGAAGCGTTTACTTAGTGCAACATCAGTTTGTAATTGTACTGAGGAAAAGATGACAAGTTGTTAAACATGGAACTGGTTTCATAGACATCCAGTGTGGTTTAGATTACTGAAGGAGCAATTTAAAGATATATACTTATGCATTGATTAATGTAGTTGTCGATCATGGTAATTGGAGCTCTCCTGTGTTATGTTAGCAGAGTTGAAGTACAGGAGCATCTTTGCAGGCTGTTGTCAAAACCAGTAGGGAGAGCCATGAGTCCACTGGAAGGAGCAAAGGACATAAATCTTTTCACGCACCTTCTGTGAGGTAGAAATAGGGGATTTTCTTACACTGTTTGCAACCACGAATACTAGGTGAAACAAAATAACACTGTGTGTTTCACTCAATCTTGTAAATCCAATTCAGTTTGAAAAAAAACGGAGTCAGAGCTGAAAAATCAACTCTAGGCCCAAACTGACATAGCGTGGTTTGTCTCAGTGATGTGATGCATAAATCTAAACTGAGTAGGGTAAAGGTATGTTTAAATACTTCACTAAAATAAAGAATGAGAACTGCCTGGTCTTACTCTGGAAAATGATTTCAAAATGCTTTCACGTCATATGACAGATGCAGCTGACAGTGCTTCACACAGTATGAGTAGATTTATTACATGTTTTAAGATACTATCTTAACTTTTTTGGCTTATATATTACCTTTTGTGTTTATGCTTTGATGAGGTGCACATATTCAAACTAAGAGTGACATAATTGAATGCAACAAATCTTCCAAATCTCCTTTGAACCCCATGGTTCAGTGCTTTGTCCCAGAATTGTGTATGCAAATGTATTTCTGCTAGGTAATGGAGCTATCATTTACATTAATTTTGTTTATATTTAATCTAAATATTGAGAGCTGTGGAAAACTGGGATGATGCCACTGTACAGATATACCAGACTTCGTTTATTTAGTCCCTTATCTCTTAGGTTTTGAAATGTTGCAGCCTTAAATCTGTTTCAAGAAGTAGCTACTGCTTGATCTTCCCTTTGGAAGTTTGAAACCAAACTTCCTTATTACTTCCAATTGTTTGATTAAACTGTATCTGATGTATTCTTCATCCTGCCTCTGAATCATCATCAGCAGTTAACTTTGTGATAATATTATACCATAAATTCTTATATGACTTTCTTGATCTCATTGAAGCAACCAGTCATTTTGTATGGTGCCAGAAATAAAGTACAAACCACTAACACAGTGAATGAAACAGACCCCATTTCATCTAATTAGAAAATATGCACTGTTACCTGCCCTCTCTGTGTTTCTCTTGTCATTTTTTACATCTCCTGAACCAGTTTGTGGGGATCTTCTTTTTGCAAAGAAGATCAGTCTGTCACCCTTGCATTCAACTTCTCCTTTTTAATACTGCTCATGAAAGGGAAGCATTCTTCATATTCATATACTCCTACCCATATTTTACCTTAAAATGATACTTTGAGACACATAACTCTTTTTGACTGTTTCATGGCATTTGTCATTTATATTAAAACTTTTGGCAAAAGTGTTTTATTAATTTCTGTAAAAACACAAGTATTTGGTATATTAAAAAATAAGTGTAGGATTGTATATATAAGACTAAAATGTTTTACCTCTGATAAAACACAAAGCATATCTTTCTGTTAATGGAGTAAGTTAATGGCATAGTAAGTGCTATCATCTTTGGAGTGCATTAATTTGTTATGTTTGAAATGTTTGCAAACTAAGTATTACAGATGTTTTTAGAACAAATGTCCTTTTAAATCAAGACAGAGTGGCTTTTTAGGACATCTGAAATGGAGGAATTTCACAACACTTTATATTTGGTGATATTTTAATTTATAGCAGGAATTTTGTGAACTACAGAACCAGGCATTTTGCAAAGTACTGCATCAGCTCAGAAATACATGATTTATTAGGGTGATTTGAGAAGATTTCTGAAAGTTTTGTTAAAGAACAATCTATTTCCAATGTTGGATATCCAGATATTGAAACTAGTGTTTCTTAGCCGTAGAAGTATATTGCTTTATGACTTACACAGCCCTGTGAACATGATCCTAGTTTGCTAATTATTAGTAGTAATATCGAAACTTCAAACCAGGTCATTGCCAGAAGAATATGAAAAGTTGACTTGCTAGCTTTCTGCTGATTTTTGAGCTGTCAGGAACTCAATTATTCCAGCACTTGGCAAAAAGAAATTCTGTAGGAATTCTGTAATCTTTGTCACAATAAAAAGAAACGAACAATCTGTATATGGAACACAAGTCAGGAATTTTTAGGTTAACATATAGATATCTTGGTGAATTTGGTGTGACCTATGGAAAGCTCATGGATTCAGTAGACACCGAATGGGAACCTCTTGCAGATGCATGGGTACCATACATCTGCTGAACCCTGCTATGTACACTTTGCAAATGACTTATAGTTTGTCCCCATTTCCTAAACTATTGACCAGTCTTAATGCTTTCCTTTTGTCCAAATGGAATTCCCAAACTTCAGTCTTGGTGTTCTGTTTCTTTTGCTGTACAAAGCCTGGCAAGCTGTTTGAGGGAGAAGCTGGGATTTGCATCAGGTTGGAAATATTTCTGTACTGCACCAGAGTAAGGCAAAGGAAGCCCCTGTGTTTCTGTCTTCTGGCAACCATCTATGCAAGGCCAGGCAGATTGCTTTCCCTGTCCTTCAGTTCAGCATGATTGTCCTCTGTCAGTAAGTTTATACTGCTATAACTGCTTTCATATTGGTGGAACCACTTCTGATTTACTTCAGTGTAAATGTTAGGGTTATCAGTTTCTGATTTAGTCTGTTTAACATCTCAGTTCACTGAGCTGTTTCAGAATATGCATCGTCAGGCCAAAAAAACATGTGGGTAGGTCCATCTAATTTTGAGCAAAGAGGTTAACTGAGTCTTTATGAAATGCTCAATATTTTAAGTTCCTCTACTAGAGGTAGAGAAATAGGTATCTACAAGCAAACATTCATTTCCACCTTTAGACATACCCACAGTTGAAGAGGTACTTGAAAGTTCTTCTAAGAGCTTTGCACCACAACTGTATTAAAGGTGCTCTGTAAAATAAAATCTTAAAAATCAGTTCAATTATATCAACACATCTTATTGTCACTCAATAATTTCACTTAATATTGCTGAGCCAGTTTATTTTTCTCTTATTAGCAGAATTTTACTTTAAACTACCAAGAGAATTTGAAATGTTCAATTGTATGCAAAAATGAGATTGGTTGTTGCTTCAAAAGTGCTCCATAGCTTTCTTAAAGTAATTTATAAATTAACAACAATTTCTCCTCTTTCTTGAGTTCATTGATCCCTATCTGGACAGGTATGATATGCTTTTCTGTAGAAAGCAGGGTTCTTGAGTTTTGATCTTCCTTACTTTGTGAATCTGGTTCAGACCTTCTGCAGCTTGGTAGATTTCTCATTGCTAGCACATTGCTCTGATCTGAATATGATATATATCGTCAGTTTAGCATGCATTCTCTACATTGTAGACAAAAGAGAAGTCAAATCAATAGTTACAACAACATCGTGTTGAATGAAAAAGTAAAGAAACCATTTTCTTTGCCAGTCTACTTTTTTTTCTTATATGTACAACATATCTCCAGTGAAGAGCTCTGAAATTTCCCTGATAACTGAAATTTTGTAACCAACCTTGAATTCAAACATGTAGTCTTCAGGCACTGAAAAAAAAGGAACATATACCAGTATTTCAAAAGTAGGTTATTATTATGCTCTGGAATGTTAATCTTGGATATGCACTAATTTTTCAGCTTATGGGTATAGAAAAAGACTATTACTTAAAAATTAAACATTTAACTTTTGTACTCTTAGGGCACTGGCAGAGCAGTACTGTTAAACTAGGCAAAATTGAATTGCATCTGTTTGCAAGTATTCAGCTTAAACCATTCAGCCATCAAGACAAGAAATAGTAGAACAGCAATTAAACTGGAAATGTCCTTAATTTTAGAGTGGGGAAAACTGGTTTGTTTAAAGTTCTTTGTAATAAAACTATTTGTGTGGTTACTTTGAAAACTCACTACTGTTTTAAGGAATTGCTTGAATTACTGTTTTAAGGAATTGCTTGAATTCTTCTAAACATTACTAAAATAAGACAGTTTTTATTTCTTCACCTCAAAGTGACATTCTACATATACAATAAAAATAAACACAGGCCTCACTGAGTAATTATTTTATTAATATTTTCACTCAAATTCTAGAATAATTTCTTCTAGAATACTATTCTATTAAATATGTAGAAATATTCCTGTTTATGAGACCAAGTGAATTGTATGTATATCTGCTGTGAAAATAAAAAAAGTAAGAGTGTGTGATTTGATTTGAATATTGGTGTCACCAAAAAAAAGCAATGTACAAATTTAAACATGTTTTTACTATTGTCGAGAAAGCAAAACTTCTTAATTAGCATTGGAAAAATTATAGCCATTTTCTTTTCCTCTTGTATTTGTTACAACTAACTGTAAATTGCCTTTTTTTTCCTAGGAATTTGTCAGGGAATATTTTTTCAAGTCTCATGAATGGACTTTTTTCTGAGCTGCTAGCTCTGAAAGCACTGTGAGTATCATCCCTTGTGTTCATAAATCTGAAATACTTGAGAAAGACATTAGAATAAATATAGCAGAGTTGAATGTGAATTCAGACTGGATTGCTTCTAGAAGTGCATTCCAAGTGTAAAATCTGCATTATTTTGTTATCAATGTCTGTATCACTGTTGATGAGCTATCTTCTACCTGTTGCAGGGAAATGGATAGCACTGACCATTCAACCCCATTTCTGACTAGCCCAGTCTAGCCCTCCTAAGTAGCATCCTTTTTTTTTTTTTTTAATACTCTATTATCTTAAACCTTTCTATGTTTTTATGCGTCGCATCATATAATCACTCTAATTACACAAACCCGGTAATTTAAAATATTTTCCCTTCAATTAGAATAACAATTCCCAGTTACTGGTAGTAATTGTACCTTCCTGAGATTTAAAAGTGTATCCTGAATGCTTCCGTGGTCAAGTTTCTACTTAAAGGGGGTTTTATTAAGGGAAAGTGTGTTATAGTATGATTTTCTGCAGTAACACATACTCAGGTTTTTTTCAGTAGTGTCAGTGATGTTGCTCTGTAAACAACCCAGAATTTTTGCATAATGTCGTGGAAGTAATTAACAGTGGGGCAGTATATATTGGTTGTCCCAGAATATCTTTGTATTTATACAGCTATAGTTACACATCCATAGTGACGCATCTATCTAGATTAGTTCTCTTTGGAGTTAAATAATTCAAATCTAACAGAAGGAAGTAAATTTATAAAAACTGCATGTGTACCAACTGTGATAATTCTTTGCCTTTCTAGACATTTCAACACTGATTCACTCATCTGTGACTGTAATCTAAAATGGATCTTGCAATGGGCCAGAAACGCTTCGGTTCGAATAGCGGAGGAAACGGTTTGTGCTTACCCCAGTGCTTTACATGGACTGTCACTTTATAATCTGAAGGAAAACCAGCTGATATGTGGTGAGTTGTACTCTCATTTGATGTTACAAATTGAAGTGAAACCCAGGGAAAATACTAGAAACCAGATGTGATAAAAAAAAAGAAAATCTGACTTGATTATAGGCACAAGAAATTCAGGTATGTGACACAGAGGATACAACTAAGATTGAAAGAGAATGGAAACCCCCCCATAGTTCTTATTTCATATCTCAAGAACACTGCCAATATATTCAGTAATATATAATTATGACTTAAAATATTAACTTGTGATGCCAGCTCTACGTTGTATACTGTGTGAAACTGAGGATTCCTACAGGAATTTATAGAATGTTTATTTCAAGTTGTATATCTGACAGTGTGAAATAAATGCCAGATTTCATTCTTCTATTTTTCTTTTATATAAACCTATAACTATACTTTTTAGCACCACATTCTGGGGATGAATAGAATTTTTATGGTGAGCTTCAGTTAGGTGAATTCTGTATTTGAAGATCTAGATTTGAAGCACTTTCTGGACATTTACCACATAAGAAACATGATATGGTGTGAGGAAGAAAGCAAAAAAATATGAACGAGTAAGGAAGACTCATTTCCAAGTGAATACTGTCTAGCAATGAGCAAACTAAACCAGAGATTTTAAAAGTATCACATACCGTGGAGAAAAGATCATTGCCTAAGGTGATGCTGGTGGGTTTCATAATCAGAAGTCTAATTCACATGTACTTGATTAATCACAGAATCTTTGACCTTCTTGAATGGCAGAAAATTGCTTAGATGGTGACTTTACTATTGCCTTTGCAAACAAAAGGAGAATCACACATTTCTCCAAATAACTGCAAGAAGAATGACGTGTGTTGCTAACAAATACATTCATAGCAGAAGGGAGATCAGAAGTTGACTGGAGCGATATATAAAACAACAAATACAGGTGCTTACAAGTTGGGAGAGATGTGAAAGGATGTGAGTGCTAGCTACAGATGGTCCATCAGCTGAATTGTTGAGGAAACACAGATACATGTCTGGAGGCAAATAAGGAATGAGCTCCTGTGAGTGAAAGGCAGAGAAGTTTCGAGTAGCTTGGGTTACTGAACATTTGAAATTCTGCAGTACTTCTCAAATATCAAACTCTCTTTTTATAGAGAGCCAGCATGGGCATCTTCATAGAGATCCATTTCCCAGCAGGAAAAGTGCTTTTTCTGAAAATGCTGGAAGGATCAGAAGAGTGATTAAGGACTGTTAATTGGTATTTCCAGGTCACAAATAAATATAAACCTGTGAATTTTACAGAGAAAATGAAAGCAATTTCTCAGAATTTAGTACTTTAGTTCCCAATAGGACTCCTTATCACACCTGATACAGAATTTATAAAACCCGTCTAGTTCTCACTGCTATTTATATTGTCCACAGAACACTTGACAAGGTGATAATGACTGACAGTAGCTTGACACTGCTTCCAATATCCACAGAGAGTTTTACAGTGGTTATATTTGCTGAGCCTTCCACCAGCTCTGTAAAGTCTGCCAGGTACTTCACAGTGCTCATAGTACCTGCTGAGCAACTCTCAGTGCCCAGAACATTTAGCAATTTTATTTTCCGTACCTTAATTTGAATTTAGGCATAACAGAAGGCTGTCTGGCACCAAAATAATATTGAGAATGATTTAAAAATATGTTTTGGAATATGCATAGAGCTGATCAAATTAAACATATCTGAAAGAAAATATAGAGTGATTTAAAAACTAAAACCTCCTGCATGTGAACATCTTCCATGCTGTCAGACATTTGTATTTATGGTCACTGATCTTCCTTCTACATGCTAAAAGACTTCATGAGGTATTGCAGTCACAAGATGAGCAAAGAAAAGAAGAACGAAAGGGGAAAAATAAAAATAGAAGGGAAATGGGAAAAGATATTTGCAAGTGAGTTAGGGAATGAACTAAAAAGTCAAAGTATGTGGATTCTGAATAGCTACAGGGAGCAGTTTGCCATCAGTTTTTTAGGTTTATTTTATATTTTGATGGGATTAAAAAATCACCTTTTGAATTTCTTTCTAGCAAATCTTTCTCATGCATCTGATAACTCACGATAACCAAAGCAGTGAATTGCCTGTTGAAAACAGTTAAAAACCTCCTTTAGGGATTTTTATGAGTTAAGTAACTGCACAGTTACAGAATTCCCAGGGTTCTGCTTGCATATTTCTCTAACAGCTTTTAAGAATTATTTAGATCTTTAACCAAATTATCCAACTGTCAGAAGTGTTTGGCTATAAAACAATTTTTCACAATGTTTTCACTTTGTCTTCTGCCTTAATGATGAGGGACTGTGATGAATTCATGATGGTATGGACAGAGTATGTTTCCAAAAAATGATTGTGAAATTGGCTTCATACAGTGCCTCGTTAATCTTTCTCCATGCGTCCAAATAAGACTCAATTTACAGTAGGAAAATTCCACTTTCCTGAATACCAGTGATATAAATTCCACCTGAGGTCTGATAGGAGTCCATGATTTTCCCTGGTGCACATCAGCAGAGATGGATTCTCTAGGCCAAATTCTTCACTCAGAAAAGACCTGTATGAGTTTTTGTCTTAAGGGCATTATGAAAGACTGCTCTTAAAGCTGGGATCTGATTATTTTTACTGATAAATGAGATAATAGAATTTAGTTTCTTGGCCTCAAAGCTGTATTGATGTTACTGAACTAACATCACTAAGAAGTAAAAGTTCAATTGTTCTTCAAATTACAATTGACATAACTCTGATGGAGCATTTTTCTATTAAGAAATGTTGACTCATCAAAACAGATGTTTGGAAAAGTGCAGACCTTCTTCTTTCCCCCAGTCAGATTTTATTTAAAATTTAGAAAGTAGTTGACATAATATTAGATAAATTATTTGGCTAAAAATGATATAGATATTTACTAAATAATACAAAAAATGTTGTAAAGGTCAAATTATAAAAATCATTGGATGATGCTTTAAGACATGTTTATTTATTTATTTACTTATTTATTTATTTATACAGCAGAGAAAATTATCTAATTCTTCTGGGACAGAATACTGTTTCTCCTGCAGATCTCCTATAAATTAAAATCTTACTTTTTGCATGTACATATGCTTTACAGATGTTTATAAATAAGTAATTTAGACCATACTATTCCATTCTTTTAATTAAAAAGGAAACTGCTTCAAAGGAAAATATTAGATACTGAGAAATCTATTTTTTTTGCTTAGAGTTTATTGCATTAATACATAATAAATTACATTTTTATTCCTTATCATTATGCATTTTTTCATGCAGTGAATGGATAAGTTTTGTTCTTTTTTTTGTGTCAGTAGCTTTTCAGGTTTGTGTAGTCTATTGTCCTAATCTTGGTCATGATATTTTTGCATGGGTCTATAAAGCAGACAGGTTCAAAGAACTAGAGGTAGTACCTTGTCAGTTCTCAGGAAATCTAAATGTAGAGAAACATCTAGATTTTTTTTCAAGTGATTTCACTCTACTCAACCAGATGGTTTGCTGTGATACATTTGCAGCACCTCATCACAGCACTTTCAGGCAAGCTGGTTCTGCTGCATGTCACCTTTCCTGTTGCTGCCCTTACCTTTCCTAGCTGTCTGCTAAGAGGCAGTCTGGCAGAAAACCTGATAAAGCAATATTTTAACAGTCTTGAAAGGCTCTCAAGCCATGTTAGCAAAGCTTGTTCTGGCCCTTTGAGTCTGACCCTTTCATGAGATACTGGCTAAGTGTAATCCCCAAAAACTATGTTTACCCTCTTTCTCTTTGTTGATGTAAAGCTATGCACAAGTCTTTTCCTTGGAAGAAATGAATCAATTGCTTCTATCTTTACTGTGCTTATGCACTGAATGTTGTTGTTTCCCACTTCCTTAGTAACTGTTTTGTATTGAATGGGAAAAAATCTCCTTCCATGTTGAGCTGCTTCAGCATTCGACTGTATTACAAGAGTTAGAAGTTTTAAGATACAGCATTATTTATTTATCTACACTGTGCACATCTCTGAGAAACCCATGCCATTGAAATAATAATAACCAGAAAGGCCGCAGACACAATCAGCAAAGCTATTATTAGTACATGTTCTTCTTATACTATCCTCAGCAAAGAAACTTCCAACGTTAGATACATTCATTTAAGACACAGTCTTGGAGGAAAATATGGTGAAAATAGAACTTGCAAAGCACAGAGTAATGGCAAATTACAAAACAAAATACCTCAGGTTAGTCGTTTTCCTTTCTTGTATTAACATGGCTGAGATAGCATCTGGTTTTAGGTAGTGTCTCTTCTACTGTAATGGGGGTAGGATTCCTCCCTAGTCTCAAGAACCTGTTTTTCAGAGGTGTAGAACCCACTACTTCAGTCCCCAGAAGCTCAGTTTGAATTCTGTTGTTGCTCTTTGAGCTCCACGTTCATGAAAATCAACTGTAGAGTGTTTCACAGGACTTAGAGGAGTTATTGCAGTATATTATTTTGAAAGTATGTATTATGACAAAATGTGTATTCTTTTCATTGGTAGTGCACCTGTTGGTTGTGATCAATGGAATTTTATTGAGAAATGCTTTAGATTGGTTCATAATTTACTAATAGCTTTAATAGTCAGTTAGGACTTTCACTAGGGATGGCAAGGAGTGAGCACTCAAAATACAGAACTGGATTTTTGTCTGTATAGGATCTGTATGCTTAGGTTTCTGGTATGCCTTCGGGGACTCTCTACTGAGAAAAGTGTTAACACTGCAGAAGTATAAAAATCCATCCTGCTGAAAATAGAGATGAGAAAACAAGATCATAGGTGCAAGTTGTGAGTGTCCAAGAATGTTTGAATTATGCAGCCTCTGAATTCTGTAAACTACCTTAAAGTTTTAATTCATGAGTTAAATTAGCAAGCTCTAGATCATCATTGAAATGTGGTTTTTTGAGTATGATAGATACTCAGAAAGTATCTATCTAGGAAGGCCACTTCAAAGGGAGGGATAAAAATCAAAGAGATAAATCTTTTTCTGACTTCTGTA